GCGCCCTTGCCCAGCAGGGCCTGGACGAAAGCCCTGCCGATGCCCTGCGCCCCGCCGGTGACCAGGGCCACCTTGCCATTGACGTGCATGGTCGCCGCGCCGCTGCCCGCCGGCCCCGCGCCCACTGAGCCGCAGCAACCCAGCGCGGTGTCACCTGCCTGGTTTCCTCCCTCCTTCGCTCGCTCGCTCCCTCCCTCCTGCCCTCCCGCCCTCCTTCCCTCCTTCTCCTCCTCCCGCCGCTGCCGCGGCTCATTCCCCCCCGCTGCCCTCTCGTGTGACCGAAAGCAGCCCGGAGCTGCCTGGGCGGGGGGAGCAGGGGTGGAGCAGATCATTAAATCGTTCTCACGAGTGCCTGGGTAAACCCCAGAGATCCAGGGCCAGAGAGGACACCAGCTTCATCCCCGCTTAAGCCCCCCGGGCTCTCCGGCGAGGAGCGGCTAAACCCCGGCGGTCTCCGGGGAAGGGTCCCGGAGCAGCTCCAGCCGCCCTCGGAGGGGGAAGAGCCTTTGCGTCTCCAGAAATCGCGTGAGAAGCAGCTACGAGCTTTGATAAGGGCTCTTGGCAGCTCCTAAGGCTGTGTGCGTTTTAGTTGGCCCAAGTAAGTTGTGTGAGCAGGAGGGTGAAGAATTGAAAGAGTTCAGTCTCGAATAAAACAAGCATAGAGCCTTTTTTTCACACTTCAGAGTACCCCACCAGCCTTCATCCTCTCGTTCTGCCAGTAAGTAGAATCTGTTTGTATGGAAAAGCACTCACTAAACATTATGGATATTAGACATATCAAGGTAAGTGCTTTCTAGAAATTTTCAAGTCTGTGGGTAACAAAGCTTGTACCTCAAAGTGTTGAACCACTTTTATAACTTATAAGCCAAATCCTGCTACTTACTGTGAATGATATGCAACTGAAATTTATCGATACTAAGATATATCACCATACAGGAGAAATAAGAGCAAACTTAGTGATCTAAAAGCTGAAATCAATTTTGTCATTCATTAGCCTGTCATGAGATCTGCAAATGTTATCCCATAGAAAATACAATGTTGTGGAGTGTTGGGTAGATGGGAAAAAGCTATTGTTCTAGTCCTAAGCTCTATAAACCTATGTACATCATGTATGTGCATGTGTGTATTAACACACACACACTTATCTTTTAGATTTTTTGTTTTCTTTTGCCCGATGTATCAGGTTCAAACATTTAGCTTGTGCTCTCAAGGCCCTGAAGTGCTCTGACTCAGTTGTCACCTCTACCATTAACATCTGTGCCATTTTTCCTTGCTTCTCAGCAACAGCATACCTATTTTGCCCCGTCTCTTATCCCAGCTGCCTGTTTTCTACTAGGCTGCCTCCATGTATGGAATTCCCTTCTTTTGTATTACCTAGAAGAAACAAATTATATCACTCCTAATACCAGCAAACTGTTACAGAACCATTAAGGTAACTATGTTACCTAATTGAGTAAATTGAGTAACACAAGATCTTGTTATTATAACCTTTGTCCTTAAAAATGTGAACTAATATAATCCAGCTGGTAAATTGGAGAGCAGCCATTTAGTTTTCCTAAAGATCATGATTCATAGCTCTTCATAAAAGAAGTCAGAACTGTCCTCTGGGATTAGTGATTTGTTTTAATATGATACCTGTATTTCTGGGAGGGCTCCAGATTGCTTTGGAGCTGTGAAATTTGTGCCACCTAAACTGCCATGCCTAATGAGCTCTTTCCCAACCAGCTGAGCCAGCTTCCCTAATTTGTTGAGAGAAGTACAGTGCGAGGACAAAGGCACATCACGAGAACAGTATTACCACACAGGGACCTAACAATAGCATTACAGTGGAGTCTTTCACCCTCAACCCAACCCTGATA